CTAGTTTAAGATACAAACCTACCTGCATGACAATCTAATAGTACCCCATTTGTGGAGTATTCTGTGTGCTAGGTACTATGGTAAATACTTTATTTCAAATAGCAATTAAAACATTTACAAATTATGAAAGAGGGAAGTGCCGGAGAACGTACAACACATCGGTTGCTCTACGGTAGGAAAAAAACCCACAACAATGCACAGTGAGGGAGAGATTAGAGGCACTAAAGGCCAATGAAGGGTGACCTGGTTGCCTGGTTTGTATTGATTTTGATCTTTAGAAACAATGTCTTTCTCAGAAGAAAGCAGAATCTATTGGATGTCTCAAGAGTTAGAAAATTCTGATTTAAAAATTTCTGTGGGCTCTTTCTGGACACAGCACTTCTCTCTGAAATAAAAAATATAAGATGATGAGATAAAAATAGGAGACCTCTTTTTTGAGGTCTCAGATTTTAATAGACATTGTTCTTAGAGCCATTTAAGCTTGGCATCGAATTATTAATAGCTGAGAGCCATCGTCACTCACTGCTTCTGCTTTCACAGGGTTGGTTCACCTCTAGTTCTGAGCGGTGTGAAGGTTAGGGCTTTAATGGGTGGCTTGGGTTATATAACTTTAGCAGCAGAAGGTACTTAGTCTGATTTCCTCATTTTACAGATAAACTGCCCCAAGGAAGGTTAATTCTCTAGCCTGAGATCACATGATTTGTTGCAGAGCCAGAATGTAAATTTGGAGATTGACTCTTAGTTCAATGCTTTCCCACTATTATTTCACCTCACCTCTCTACTTCTAGTTTTTTTTTTCCTTTCTGAGATATGGGAGTGGCAGTACAACAGTAAATACTTTTGATGATACTATGTAGACACTGCTTATATAAATAACGATGATGACAGTGCCCCACATTTGTGTTTGTTTTTCAAAACTTGTAAAACAGTGGCAGACAATAAGCTATACAAGTGATGAGGTTGATTGTATGGTCAACCCATCTATTATTTTGAATGAAGTATTGTAGTCAACTTACTCTATAACTTGAATAGCAGGTTTGGGGATAATTGAAGTTTTAAGGCATAACCCAGGTTTTGTTTTGGTGTTTTTTTGTGCCACATTATTTCTTTTGTGATCAACCTTGCTTCTAATAAAGAGCAAAGCTGACTTGTTTAAATTGTGGATCCTTCATGTACCTTGACCTTTCTCAGTTATATGTTCTTGAAAGAAATAGAATGGCTAACAAGCACTGAGTGAGAGGAAGAAAGAAAACTCTTGAATAATCCATAAATTTCATAATCAGTCCTTGAATACATCAAGAGTGAACTATACTTAGCCTTCTGACATTTTAAATGCTTAAATTACAATATTTTAAATAGGAAAATAACTATTTTCTGTCATATCCAAATTAGTATGTACATTATTTAATGCTGCTTTATTTATTTTGGAAAATGATTCTATATTTTGCAGAGGCATAATTGTACAGTTTTCCATTTTAATTTCTCTTACCTACTGTTAATATTTGATGACTATATTTTTATAAGAAACTTACAATTTCGAGCATAATTGATTGATTGCTTTTGGTTCAGTGCGAAGAAGGGTGCAGATGAAATCATAGTTTTTTGTTTTTTTCAATGACTCAGGCTGGTACGATGTTCTAATCGGCTCTGTGCCTCTCATAGTGCTTGTCATTTTGCCTAGTGGAGTGGCTCTTACCCAGGGGCAGTTTTGCCCCCCTGATGACATTTGGTATGTCTGGGGACATTTTGATCATCATGAGTAGGGTGCATGCTATTAGCATCCGGAGGGGAGAGGCCAGGAATGCTGCTAAACATAGAGTTCATTCGACAACCCCCATAACAGAGAATTGTCTGACCCACATGTCAGCACTGCCAAGATTGAGAAACCCTTACATATGGCAGGTGCACGATAAAATATACTGAATTAGAAAATGCATCCACCCTAAAACTTAAGCATAAGGCCTCATATATATATATTTACATACCAATTTATCTTTGCTTCATTATGCTTAACATATTAAAACAAAGTTTTTGCAATTATGATTAATTTAGGTTTGTTGTACCTGTTGAAATAGATAATATTTAGTAATCAAATGTTAACAGGAAGATTCATTGTTCTTATTTTGGACTTTACTTCTCCCTTAAGGTTTTCATTTTCTTGAAATCAATATTGTATGTTTCCTACCATATTTCCACTTAGATCTGACATAATCATTTCTGTGAAAAAGTTAATTATCCAGATGTCTAAATTAATAATTAATCTGACAATCCTTATCCTGCTATATTCTATTTAATCTTATCTTTAGAGTTTAAGTCTGAGATACTAAGTAGAATTTGTAGAATTCGTCAGCTAGCAAAGCTGGACTCCAGCTTCAAGCAGCAAAGCTAGAGTTGCTAGATGGTGGTTCTCACAATCCCAGTGAAGTAGAAGCTGAGTTACAGCCGAGTTTTCTGCCATGTGTGCATCGTTTATAATCCGACCTAAAGCTTCGTGTCTCTTATTTCTGTTGACCTGATTTAATTTGGACAAAACTAACTTTTAAAAAGGAGATAGATCCTTAATGTTTTTAGGGGTTGAGGAGTGGGAAGGGGTAATGAAGGACTTGGAAGAGTATTATTAAAAGCACTTCAGTGCTTTATAAATCACCCAAAAACTATGTGGTGACTTGTTGGATTTTCTTTTTAAATAGTTATAAATGTCCCCACTGACAGGAGGATTAGTGGTGATTATATCTGATGCTTGTCAGAAGGAAAAGCCATAGATAAAATAATTGCAGTTGCTGTTCTGATCTTTTTACTGATGTTTACTTGAACATGACCTATTGAACTCTTAATCTAAGGAGTTTGGTCAATGATACGTACCTGAGACGCTTTTAGGATTTGTTACATTTGTTACTTAATATCTGTGACAACCATAGTAGAAGCAAGTTCTAGGTAGGTTTAACTGCCAAAGAGTTTGGAATTTGGAAAAGTGATTTTTATATGATTTGAGTTTTGGCATAAAAAAATTGCTTGGAGTGATCCCTTATAATGGCAGTAATCTGATCAGTCAGAAATAGCCTGTGCTTTAGCAAAACACGCAGCCAGCCAGAGAAGTTAGTGCGTGATAGATTAGGTGAGGTTGAGGAGAAAAGAAGGAGATGGTGTTGTAATTCCCAGAAACTGTGTAGTAGTGTCAGAGAGGTGTTTAAGAGGAGTGTTTCAATGTGATGGAAGCGACATACTTTCCTGTTGAAGAGAGAAAACAAAAATCAGAAAACTTTCTAACTCCTAACAACCTTTCCTCTTCTGTGGTGCTTCACTTGCAGTGGTTATCAACCCTGGCAACACATGAGAATTGCTAGAAGAGTTTTTAACAATGGCTGATGCCTGGGCTCCACTCCTGGCAACCTCAGTGTAATTGAGACCTAGACTTTGGTATTTTGTAAAGAGCTCCACAGATGCATCTGCCTTGCAGACCAGGGTTAAGAACCACTGCCTCATGGCAGTGCATCAGAACTGTCTGGAGGGCTGTTAGGTCTGGGCTGGAGCTGAGAATTTCTTTACATTTCTGATAATTCCCAGGTGATACTGATATTGCTGGTAAGGTGATCGCACATTCTTACATCATTTCGGTAACTAGTCTGCTTGTTCTTTTCTTAAGATGGATATTTCTGTATTTTTAAATTTATAATGAGCTTTTACATTATTTGTGGTTAATCCTCACTGAGGACATTTTTTCATTGATTTTTTTAGAGTGGGAGGGAAGGAGGGAGGGGGAGAGAGAAAGAGAAACATTAATGTGAGAGAGGCACATCAATTGGTTGCCTCCTACACACACCGTAACTGGGCTGGAGATCAAACCTGCAGCCTAGGTCTGTGCCCTTGACCAGGAATCAAACCCAAGATCCTTTGGTGCTTGGGCCGATGCTCTAATCACTGAGAACACTGGCCAGGACAGCATTTACATTTTATTTAAAACAAATTTTTGGAAGAAGCCACATCCATAATAACTAAAACATTGTATAATGCTTCATAGTTAAAAAAATATAATGAATTTACAGTTTCTAGTAGACTTTTTGAACTATTTAAAATAACTTGTGCTTCTTTTTTTCTTAAGAGTACTTTAGCCCTACCCAGTTTGGCTCAGTGGATAGAGCATTGGCCTGTGGACTGAAGGGTCCCAGGTTCGATTCCGGTCAAGGGCATGTACCTTGGTTGCGGGCACATCCCCAGTGGGGAGTGTGCAGGAGGCAGCTGATCGATGTTTCTCTCTCATCGATGTTTCTAATTCTCTATCCCTCTCCCTTCCTCTCTGTAAAAAATCAATAAAACATATATTATAAAAATACTTTAGATTTCAGATTTTATGATATACATATTTATATATACATGTTTACATTTATATTTCTAGGTATCTTCATGCACATAGCCCAAATAAAAAAGATTCATCCTCATTCAAGAGAAATTTCCAGCATTTTCAGTTTAAACACTTTGTTGTTTGAGATGGGAGAAATATTTTCTTCTTCCTCTTCTTAAATATGCTGGGGGAAACGCAGAGCCATGCCCTGAGAGGATTGGTGCGGGGAGTGGGAATGGAGGAGAGACCGTGCTTAGGAGTCGGGGCAATGTTAGAGAAAAATGGAACCGTTCAGGTTTGGAAAGAGCAGCAGGAGGGGAGGCATGACTTTCAGGAGTGAAGGCATCAGGGATGGAGAGGAGACAGCTGCTGGGCCAGGAGCTTGGTCGGCCAGAGAGCTGTTAAGTGGCAGAGTCCGTTCTCAGATTCGGGTCTCTCAGACTCTCTGGGTTTATTCTCTTTTCTGCAAAACAGCTTAAAGGGAAAAAAAAAATGTCAGTTCTAATGAACCAACTCTGCAACAATGCAGCAAATGAGAGTTTGTGGCAATTATGAATTCTGCAAAAAATCTCTAGATGGCATTGGCTTTTTTTTTTCCTGCTATATTTGGATATTGAGTCCCGAAATGACAGTTTCCAATGTGACTTCCTGTGTTTTTCAGAAATCATCCTCAGCCTTTGATCACTGTGCTCGAGCACAGACCTGATTGCTGGCCCGTGCTTTTGCGGCAGCTGACAGCTTTTTTCCAGCAATGCCCTGAAAGGTAATGTGAAGTGAAATAGCGAGGGCGACGGAGTGGGGTATGCTAATTTTAGAACTTGGCTTTTTCTTTTTTAAGCTGCTTTGACTACAGTGTCTTCTCCTGAAGAAAAGTCTTTGAGCATATGAAGTTTAATATTTTCTTTTTAAGAGTAAAACAAAAACCTACCATATTTCTTGATTGTTCAAATTTTAAATATGAGAGCAGCTATTATCAAAGAAGTTAAGCATTGGTTATTTAGGAAAGTTGACTAGAGATAGTCAGTAAACTACTACGATTTTTAAATTTTTTTAAATGATAAATCATTTTTTAAAAATATTTTTATTGATTTCATAGCGGAAGGGAGAGGGAGAGAGAGATAGAAGCATCAATGATTAGAATCATTGATCAGCTGCCTCCTGCATGCCCCCCCACTGTGATTGAGCCCTGACTGGGAATCGACCTGGTTCATAGATTGGCACTCAATCACTGAGCCACACCAGCTAGGCTAATGATAAATCATTTTAATAGTTGTGTTAAACAATTAATATAAAGCAAAATAACATGTCAACTACTTTTTCCTAGCGATAATATAAAATAGGGCATAAAGCTTTGATACGCCATACATAATACATTTAGAAGATATATATGTATTATTTTATATATACTATATATATATATATTTTTTTTTTTACAGGGTGTCCCACAAAATGTATACACATTTTAACAGCTGATAGCTCAATTTTGAAAACGAAATGTATTTTAGTAAACACTGCCTTTATAATTACTCAAAGTGTGTATATACATTTTTGGGGGGGACACCATATATATATATTAATCCTCACACTAGGACATGCTTTTATTGATTTTTAGAGAGAGAGAAAGGGAGTGAGGAGCGGGAGAGAGAGAAACATTGATGTGAGAGTGAAACATTGATCAGTTGCCTCTCACATGTGCCCCAACCAGGGATTGAACCACAACCTCGGTATGTGCCCTGACTGGGAATCAGACCCATGACCTCTCCATGTATGGGGTGATGCTCCAACCAACTGAGCCACCAGCCAGGGTGGGGGCATTATTTTATAACTAAGTTAAGCATTCATTTATAGAAGGCCTTGTGATGTTAAAAACTTCACCTTCATGGAACTGAGAATTGCATAAATTGACATTGATGTCATGGTCCCTAGACCAGGATACTTTCGTCTAACATATTTTCCAGCCGAGGGAACTGAGGAGAGCAATAGTAAATGACTTGCTCAGGTCACATGGCAAGTTAATGGTGGAGCGGGGCTGGAAGCCTCAGCGTTGGACTCTCACTGCAGGCCTTTCCCCGCCACTTCTCCCTTAGTGGTAAACAGAAAGATTGAAGATGTATATGTAGATACACTTGATGACATTTTTAAACATCCTTGATCACTTTGGGATTTCAGGTTATGTTTTATTATTTCCCTTTTCTCCTTGAGCCCTGGTAATCTCATACATGTGTACTGAAGTGATAGTTAATCATTAGATACCACATAGGTAATGCAATATATAAAATCAGGACGGATTAAGCCAAGAAGAGTTTTAAATGCATAATAGTGTATTGTCCTTAAGAAAGTTCAACATTATGCTTCTGATGTCAAATAATGACAGCATCTTGGAAATATATTTTTGTATATGAACCTTGCATTTCACCTTCAGCATCTCAAAGTGGGAGAAAACTGATAAGCTATTTGTGGATGTTCTTGACACCTGGAGAGTATTTATTCTGTGGGGGACACATTATTAGAGAGAGAGATGGGGAGACAATGTTTCTTAAATCTCTTTTTTGGAAACCTGTGCTTCGTAGTCTAACTCATAATACATCATCTGCTTGCTTGATCTACGAAGCTGTTTTTAGTTTCCTAAAGTGGATGGTTTGATAAAGAAATATGTTTCAGTAATAATTATTAACTCAAAAAAGTCCTTTTGTGGATTTTTTTTTTGTAGATTGTATAAGTATTTTTGCTCTTGAGGGAAAAAAATTAACCTCCAGACTGTGAGTTCCATTAGAGCAAGAATCTAATCTGGTTTTTTTTGTTTTGTTTCTAGCACATAGAAGAATGAATGGTATGGTATTCAGTACATTTTGCAAAGTGAATAAATAAATGAATAAATTAATTAAATCTTATCAATTTGATAACTTAAGATTATTAATGTTAATGATGTTTTGAAATCACATTGCTGTGGAATTTATAATGTTATAGAGTTACATTGTCAATCATAGTATTTCCTTCATGCAGCATACCTTTCTTTTAGCGATTTTCACTTTCTATACTCTAGTTCAGGAACAAAGCTGATTGCCCCTATTAGATTCTATGCTTCTTAAGAATAGATAATGCCTGGTTTATCTTTGTATCTAGTACTTTTTTATGTATAATAAATTTGAAAAACATTAAAATTTTAATTGATATATATGCACATTGTAAAACTACTCTAAATTTAGTGTAACTGAATCAGTTAATTTAATGATCGACTGAGCATCTCTTTGAAGGCCTACTGTGTACAGTTATTGGTTATACAGAAGTAAACAGAAATCCATGGTCCATGCCCTCATTTGGCTTATAGTCTTGCAAGGGATAAAGGTATTGAATAATAGTGATAAAGTCATTGTCCGTTGGAAGCAGATAATAAGGCTCCGACCCAGGTTAGGTGTCAGGGAAGGCGCTCAGGAAGTCATTTTAAAGGAGAGAACTGAAAGATGATAGAAATTGGGCAGAGGAAGGAACAGGAAAGGGAGAAAGGGGACAGTATTACAGGCAGAGGGAATAGCAAGGGAGAAAGAAGCCTGGATGACTACATGGGAGATTCAGTGGAGAGTGGAGAAGAGCCAGAAAGGAGGCTGGAAAGATAAGCAGAAGCAAAACTATGGAGGGTTTATGAATGGGACGAAATATTTTAAGGGTAAACTCTTTCAAGCTAGTTAATGACATGATGAAATTTTACATTTAAAAGGTCATTTTGGCATTTTAGTAACTTTGGACTTGGAGTTATTGGGATATATTGAAATCTAATGATACAAAAGATTGGTAATGTTTGCCTTCCTCCTCTGCATAGGAATAGCTTACAAGGAGGGACTTGGCAGGTTACTTCACTTCCTTCTGCCTCAGTTTCTGCATAATTGGGGTATAATATTTTATTTTATTTTATTTTATTTATTTTATTATTTTATTTTATTTTATTTTATTTTATTTTATTTTATTTTATAATTTTGTAGTGAGGATCAAATGACCTTAAAGGCATAAGGTGCAGTTACTTGCACACCCTGTTAACGAGTAAATATTAGCTTATAATCTTCTTGTGTTGTCTCTGTGGCTTTGTTGTATATAGAACCTCATGTACACAGTTTTTCTGAAAATGCATGCCTGGATTATATTCCTGGAAAATGGGTCTTGACATCTATAATTCTTGAAAGGTTCTCAGATGATTCTGCTGTTCACCAAAGACAGATGCTGGAGATGTTGTGTGAGATACAGATGCTATTCTAGTGTGAAATGCAGATGCTATTCTAGGGTGAGATGTAGATGCCATTCTAGGGTGCACGTAGAGACCCTTAGTTCTGGCCAGCAGCTTATGGTCTCCGGGGGTTGTCATTTTCTCCAGCGCACAAGGAACTGTTTGGTGAGGGTATAGGCAGGTCATGGTGGAATAGAAGAATCATAAAAAGTAGTTACACTTGCTAACACAGTTCATGATAGGTCCAGAGCCATTAGTTGATACTCGGACACTTACTTGCTTGATACTCTGTGACTGGCTTTTGTGTCACATGATTTCCAGGTCAGAAGCTTCATGCGTCCAAATAATGGCACCATTTCTCTGGTATCTGTATTGTGAGCCATCCCAGTTGCAAGAATATGCTAACCTCAGACTAGCCCTGCTGAAGGTCCTCCTTCAACCCCGGGTTCTCTGTGACAAAGAACAGCCATCGACACTGGAGCAGCAGATCCTTCAGCTGTGTTGTGACATGGTCCCCTGCTTGCAGGTAAGGCCTTTCCTCCTCCCCAGGAGCATCAGCACGTGCCCATTGGCATCGTCACGTGTAAAGTAGAACCCCTGTGACTTGGCAAACTCAGGCACAGTCCCAGCTCTGGAAAAGCTTGCAGGCTTTTGGCAAGGATGAAGGAACCAAATCTAGATTTAAGGCTGATGTATACAATGTTAACTAAATTCACAGATATGTAAATCAGCACACTCCATGTTAGGATTAGTAGGAGTGAAAACTTTCCTTTGCTTCAGAAAGGCTTCTCTGGAAAAAGAATCTTGAGTGGAATTTCTCTTGTGCAAGAGACTAAGCGAGTTATCAGAAAAATAAAAAAGATCTCTTGGTGCAGATTAGAAAAAGGTGTATCTCGGGGCAGACAGAGCCCTGGGACCCAGGGCTGACGGCCCAGTGCTGGCTTGGTTTCCGTTTCCACGTGTCCCCGTACAACATGTGCGAGGCCCTGACGGGTCCTGCTTTGGAGAAGCCCAGGGTCCAGTCAGGGAGTTAAACCAAGTATATAAATTTTCATAATTCAGAGTAGATGGATGAAAGATGTTTAACAGAGGTATGGATAAAACGCCTAGGGAGTTCAGGGGAGAGATAAATATGAGCTAATATCTCTATAACTGCAGATTAAAAAAAACAAAAACAAAAAAACACACCAAAAACTGCAGTTGCCAGTGTGTTGTGATTTTAGTGTAGTGGTTCATATCTCAGGCCATCCTGTCCCATCATTGGGGTTTGTCCTTTGCCTAGCATCTGAGCACCATGCGGCTTAGTGGATGGAGAGAATATTTTTCAAAGTGATCACTTGCGGTCACAGATGACCTGTTTTAAGTTGTGTTAACAAGGAATGATGAGAGCGACTCTTGCCTTTGTGACTCAGAAATTGGCCTTTCTGTGATCAAGGCAGAGCAAAGGGAATTAACAGGAATTCTCCTGTGGCTTTTCCCAAGCCTTTGTTTTGTGTGGGCAGTAAGCAATGTGGTGAACATCTTGAACTAGGGTACACTCTGTCACACCTTGTTTGCGTTACCCTGCTCTCTGCTCTTGGATAGGTGTTGGTCTTCATCTTCATGAGCCTATATTGACAAGCCTAAATACTTATTCGAAGTGAACTCTGTGGAACATTTCTGGGAATATGAAACTTGTTAATATAGTTGAGATAGATGAGGAGAAAAAAAGGATACACCATTTGAAACATATGGAACTAGCAACATAAACACTGAACATATTGGCTTTTTTAGAATGAGGAATCTGAACGTTAGGAAGGATTTTAGCAGCAATGTAATCCATGTTCCCACTGATTACAGGCATTTCTTATACTCTTTAAAAGACAACCATCCCATGAATGTGAAATATTTTAGTGACAGGAAGCATGCTATTTTGCAAGGAAACCCTTCCTTCCTTCCTTCCTTCCTTCCTTCCTTCCTTCCTTCCTTCCTTCCTTCCTTCCTTCCAGCAAGTACTTCTTCTAATTTACCTGCATTTTCCCAGGACTTTACTCATTAGTCACAATTTTTCTCAGAAAAAAAAACAACAAGCTTTTTCAAAAGCTCATCTGCATCCTATGTTGTGTTGTTTTTCTCTGCCTTCCTTTTCCCCCTTCCATCCTTCCCTCCTTTCCCTCTCTTCCTCCTTTCTTTCCTTCATCCATTTCTTTATTTCTCCATATGAAATGGTTTCCAGACTTCACTGTCCTATGGCAGGAATTCCCTAGTTTATTGGCGCTCAGATTGTGTTACTATGAAACGTTCCTCTTAGTGCTGAATACAGTACTGAGCACCTGCAGAGAATCACATTAATTAATTTTTTTTTAGAAATAGCCATGCCACCCTACCGGCCTATGATCAGAGCGCGGTCAGTGGAACTCCTCTTTCCTTTGCTTCTCATGCCAGTTGCCCTTCAATTTATATTTTCTTATTGGGACTTACCTGTCTTAAGCTTTACTGCTGACTTTGGTCCTAGCAGTTCTTTCTTTTTAATTGTGACTCTTGTCACACATGTTGCCATTGCACATGATCTATTTCTACTTCAAAATTTTTCTTGTTAAGAATTTTGGTAACGATAACGATTAGAGAGCCTTTAATGCTAACTTGCTGAGGTTGCTTTCAAAAACTTTTTTACTATGGAAAATTTCAGTTATGCACCCAAAAAAATGCATTCAAGGAAATGTCAGACATGAGGCTTTACTTAATTTTAAATCCCTTCCTTTTTTTGGTGGCCTTTTGCCTCTCCTACTCTATATTTGCAAAAGAGCAAAAATAATTTACTGAACCTTTTACATTTATTTTTTTATAACTTGGTATTTTGGACTATCTCCTCCCACTAGATCTTATAATATCTTTTTTCTCTTGTTTGCTAGGAATTAATTTTTCTCTCTGTGTATAACTTGGGGTTATTATGATGGTAACGACTGGTGAAAGGTACAGCTGGTCAACTGTAGGCTTTCCTGTTGATGAATTTAACAGACACAGGCTCCTGATTGAAGCAGATGGTTCATTGTTTGTAGCCTAATCTCTGGGAAATGCCAGTGTGTCTGCTAGCAGGACCATATCCTTAATGCCGACTCCAGAATTGTGATCAGAACAGCTGGCCTTGAATTGAATTGAGATTTTTCAAGAGCATCCAAGCCTTTCCTATCTGACACATTAGCCTGTGGAGAGGATACTCTGCCATTTGAACATGGTCTTTCCTCACGCCTGTGGAGTGTGGAAATGATGCTCCCAGTTAAGGTGTTCTGAGCAAATACCTAGCAGATGAAGAACTTACAGTGAATTAGAATAACTAGCCCTTTACTATCAGGTAATTATGTTGCAATTGTAGAAAGGAGAGTTCATTTGGAGAGCTCAAAACCAACTTTAATTTCCTTTAAGATGTTGGCACTGTCATGTAATTTGTCTTAAATCTGCACTCAGAGAAGTTAGGAAAATAAATGAAAACAATTGGTGCCAGGCAGCAGTAATAAAAACAATAGCAATTATTTTGTTCAGTGACACATGGAAAAGGCAGAGGTGCAGAGTTTAATCCCATATGAGTTCTGTACATTTCTGCATCTCCTTAAGACTTTATAAGTTTAAGGGGAAAATATTCTATTGTTAATGTTTATTGTGTAGTTTAAAATTATTCTTTGGTTTGTACTTTATTGTAACGTTATATAACGACTTTTAAAAACAGATAAAGGATTTGATACAGACAACAGAAGTGATGCTGTTTATCGAGGAAGTATATTTAAGCCTTTCGCGTCACCCTGGTTTCTGGAAAATTCAGCTTACCCAGCTGACCCTTCAGCTGCTGTGTGTCTGTGAAGTCAGCTTGAAGATAACTGGGGAATGCTCATCTTTAATCTGCCTTTTGGAGCGTAGTGTTGAACTGCTGAAGGAGGTAAGGACAGTAAGACATTTTAATGAGTCAGTTATCACTTAAGTGGGTTTTATATAAAGGAGCTGGGTGATTGTGTACTTATACTTTATCATATCAAAGGTGTGTTGCTGTCATATGATTAGATCATACTACTAATGTACAACTACTAATATCATTTATTATAAAAAGGAATCATTAAATACTCTTTAGAGCATCAGTTAAGCATCTGCCACTCAATCACTTTTCCATTTACTTACGTAGGACACAAGTAATCAACATTTATTACATGCCAGACCCTATAGAATACATAGATGAAAAGGTACATTCCGTGACCTCAAGGGACTTAAACATGTAAATAAACAATTACAATACAATAAGGTAAATGCTTTGCTATATTGAAAGGGCACAGTTAAGGAAAGTAGGGTATGAGTTCAGATGTGAGAAGTCTGCATAGGAGTTGGCCTGGTTCACACCAGAGGCTGGAAGGCATTCCGGCTGCAGGAACAGCATGTGCCCAGGCACAGAAGCATGAGAGAGCAGGCCGGCATGGCCTGCTCAGAAAACGAGAAGGTGTTGAGTATTGTTGAAGGGTCAAGGTATAGGAGATAAGGCCCAGAGTTGAGTTCGCATTTTATCTTCTAGGTAATGGCATGCTATTGAAGACCTTTTAGCAGAGAGGTGCCCTGCTATTTTGTGTGTGGAAGGTTATTCTGATGGTAGAGTGGAGGAGGGTTTAGAACAGGGTAACACAGGGGCAGGAAATGAGGAGGGATGTCTTAGACTGCTAGGGCTGCCGTAAGAAAGTATCATTGACTGGGTGGCTTAATCAACAGCATTTTTTTCTTGCAGTTCTAGAGACGAGGAAGTCCAAGATCAGGGTGTTGGCTGACTTGATTCCTAGCAAGGGCTGTCTGTCTTCCTGGCTTGTGGACAACTGCTGTGTCCTCACATGCTAGAGAGAGAGCAGGAGTGAGCTCTCTATTGTTCCTTCCTATAAGGACACTAATCCTCCTAGAATAGGGCTCCGCTCTTGTGATTTGGTTTAACTTTAATTGCTTCTTTACTCAACAACTATTGCATTGGCAGGTAGGGCTTTAGCATGTGAATTTGGGGTGAGAAGGACACAATCTGGTTTATAGCAAGGGGCTAATTAGGGAAATGAAGATGGGAAAATAAAAATATAGGAGATGAAACCAATAGGGCTTTGTGGTGACTAGATGGTCAAGGAGAGGGCCCTTGGTAGATTTTTAGTTTTCTATTTTGGACAACTGGATAGTATCCTTCACTTTTGGAAGTGGTAGTTGATGTTAGAAGGAAAATGGCAACTTTGTTTTGAGATTTGCTTGGTTTAATGTACTAGTATGTATGGATCATAAACAGTTGGCTGTATAGTTTTGAAAGTCAGGATAGAAGCCTAAGCTAAAGGTATAGATTTGTAGACATTTACTTTAGAAGGAGAGTTTTAAATTTTAACTATGGGGTTGCATGACAGGGCTTGGGTTGGAACTGCAGGGACTGTTGATATTTGGAGTGTACTGATAGAGGAGTCTGGGAAAGTATGGCAGAAGGTTGTATGACAGGCAGAAGAGACAGGTGACATGAAAATCAAGGACAGGAATCTCTTAAAAAGGGGAATGGTCAGCATTGTCATGGAGAGAGGATGTGAAGTAAGATTAGAAAAGTAGTTACTCTTATGATGCAGCAGGAGGAAGTTTATTGTCCACAGTAAAAAGAAGCAGTGTCAGTGCAGTGGTGGTGGTAGGAGCAAATTGGATTAAAGGAGTGAATGGCAGGCAAGGAAATGGAGGGAGTGAATGTGTTTTGGTGAAAGATGAAGACTCAAGTAATTCATTGGTCAATTTGACAATCTTGTGGTTAGAATGGTTTCTATGTTTGGACTCTAGATAATACTATTTTTATATACTATTATCTATCTATATATATAAAAGCATAATATGCAAATTGACCAGATGGCAGAACGACCGGTCACTATGACACACACTGACTGCCAGGGTGCAGATGCTCAATGTAGGAGCTGCCCGCAGCCTGCAGGCCCCAATCGCCCAATTGGGGCCTGCCGGCCAACCTCTTGGTCCCTCCCCCTAGCTGGCAGGCTCCTATCGCCTGATGGGGAATGGGGAATCAGGGGTGGGTGGTGGTGGACGCCGGCGGTGCCAGGCCAAGGCAGGTGCAAGCGGGGCCCTGATCGCCCCGCCGGTTGCCCCACACACAGAGGGTGGGCTGCAGCAGCGGCAGTGGGGGAAGGGACCAGCTGTCAGCAGCCGGTGAAGATTGGCCTGATCGCAGGCCAGGCCTAGGGACCCTACCCGTGCACAAAGTTCATGCGCCAGGCCTCTAGTATAATATATTTATGTTATGTATAGTAGTGATGTGCATTGACAATATACAGTAATATATATCTGTCATGTATTATGTAATACCTATTATATATTAACTAGAGGCCCAGCGCACGAAATTCGTGTCAGGTACGGTCCCTAGGCCTGGCCTGTGATCAGAGCCATCTTCCCCAGCTGCTGGCAGCCGGCCCCACCCCCCGCTGCCACTCACCCCAGTTTCCCGCTCCCCATCGGGGGATCGGAGCCTGCTGGCCAGAGGGAGGGACTGAGAGGTGGTCAGTGCGCCTCATAGCGACTGGTCAACCGGTCATTCGGGTTGTTCCACTGTTTGGTCAATTTGCATATTACTCTTTTATATATATATAGATAAATACATACTATGATAAAAATCATATCAAATCCCCTCAGATGTATAATTATATCTATATTATATATCTACATAATATTTATATATGCTTCTACCTATTGGGTATATAATACATAATATATAGAAAAATATAGACAGATAATATTTTATGGGTAAATATTATATAGCTAAATTACCAAGAGTTGTGTGTTTTTAACTGTACCTCATATTGTTCCTTTGTGTTTGTACTAGATTCATTTGCATAGTGACATGATTATCAATTATAATTATAGAGTTTAGTCTTTTTACTATCTTCCTCTGACAATCTTATTGTATATCTGCCCCTCCCCACACTATGCATTTAGCATATATTTAGTAAGCATCTTCTGTGGCAAACACTTTGCTACAAATAATTAGGGAAAAACAGACAAGGTTTGTGAAGCTTACAAGCTAGTGTGCATAAAAATCACTAGGCAGAGTTTATTAAAATGCAAATGCCTGGGGCCTGCCCCTAGAGAAATTGAATTAGCAGGGCTGAGTGAGGCTTAAGCATCTGTATTTTAAACTAGGCCTCAGGTGATATATATATATATATATATATATATATATATATATATATATATATATATATATATATTTGCATATAAGGCAAACACCCTAGTAAGCATCGCACAGATTGAACTTTTTTAGCCACCACAGAAGTTTCCCACAAGCCTAGTCCTAATCACAACCTCCTCTGTCCTGACTGTCCTGACTTCTATAGGAGTCT